GGAATAAAAGAATAAGAATAGAATAGAAAATAGAATAGAATAGAATAGAAAATAGAATAGAATAGAAAATAGAATATTGGGATGAATAGAATAGGGAATACAATAATAGAATAGAATAGAAAATAGAATAGAATAGAAAATAGAATATTGGTATGAATAAAATAGGAATAAAATAATAGAATAGAAAATAGAATAGTAGAATAAAGAATAGAACAGAATATTGGAATGAATAGAATAGGGAATAAAAGAACAGAATAGAATAGAAAATAGAAGAATAGAATAGAATAGAATAGAATTCTTTATTGGCCAAATGTGATTGGACACACAAGGTCTTGCTGCATATGTGTAAACGAGAGAAAGTGGTGGAAAATCAGAGGAGAGGAAAAAGGGGAAGCGACAGAGACAGGACAGAGAAAAGAAGGGAAAAAGGAAAGAGGAATGAGAATATTCTGATGCCGGAACTTCTTAAAAGCTATGATTCCAAATCCGGCACCCAATCTGCAATGTTTAAAGTCATGGAAAGTAGGTCATTTACTGAATCAATGTTTGCAGAGGCCTCCCATAAACTCAGGCTAAAGTTGGGCCAATGTCAGGGGGATATAAATGTATGGGTGATTGGTTAGGCCTGCAGCTGCTCCTCCAGCCAATTGATCCACGATACTGAAAAAGTTACAGATTGGAAGGAGGGGGAATGAAAACGTTTCGCGAAAAAGCAACTCCCAAGCACAGAGACACCTTTTCTTCTAAAATATGCTGCCGTCCTTAGGTCAGAAATCTGATCCTGTATACATCCAAAGAGATCGATCTGGATGAACACTGGGGATCTGAGCTAAGAGGACCACGGATCTTGAGCAATGCTAGCCACTGAAATGATGATATGTTCCTTCTCATTGTCCTTGCTTGTCCTTCCTCTAATGACTACTAATTGCCATTTCTAGTCTAATCCTGGTTGAATTTTGTTTTTAAAGGAATAAAGGAGAGAAAGGGAAGAGATGGTTTCTATTAACATTCAGCATAAGGAATGCAGGTGGAGTTAAGCTACCTGGTTTGTCTTGACACTGTAGCCTATAAGGCTAAATTTGCCTCTAAAAAGTGCACATTGAAAGACATTTTACGAAGCTTGGCATAATCTGCTCGATCTGTAAAGAAGATCTGTCATCGTCATCTTTTAATGACCCCATAATCCCTTGAGTCTGGCCAACTGAATGGAGCAGAGTGTTGACTGGCTGGAAGCCGTCCCTGTCGCCAGTGCGGATTTTTTTTTATTCAGCAGATAAATTCTCATTGTGCCCAGAGAGAGAAATACCTGCCTCTACCTAGGATCGAACTCACAGCCTCCTGATTATGCCTCTAGGCCTCCACATCACTCCACTTAAGATTTATATACCACCCCATAATGTTTTACAGCACTCTCTGAGCAGTTTACAGAGTCCCCAACAATATGGGTTCTCATTTTGCGGACCTTGGGGGGATGGCACGCTGAGTCAACCTTGAGCCATCAAGGATCATCGAACTTGGGGCAGTGCGCAGAAGTCAGCCTGCAATACTGCAGTCTAACCACCGCACCACCACGGCTCAGTAAACTGCATCCCATTTGTCGGCTTCAGGGGTGGGCAAGTATGGCCCCTTTACACTCTGTGGACTTCAACTCCCAGAATTCCGGAGCCTCACTCTGTCAAGGACCAAGGGCTACTCATCTCAAACGATCTACGCCCCAGAGCTCACTGTAGCAGCATTGCCAAAAAGGCATTGAGGGTTGTTAACCTAATTTTACGAAGTGTCTTCTCTGATAACATTGCACTGCTAACCAGGGCATGCAAAACCTTTGCCAGACCAATCCTCGAATACAGCTCGTCTGCCTGGAATCCACACTGTATAACGGACATTAATACGATTGAGCGGGTCCAGAGGTATTTCATAAGAAGAGTCCTCCACTCCTCTGCTTGCAACATCAGGCTTGAAATTTTGGGCTTGGACAATCTGGAATTATGCCGCCTACGGTCTGACCTAAGCATAGAACACAAAATTGTCTGCTACTACATCCTATCTGTCAACGACTACTTCAGTTTCAACCACAATAATACACAACACACAATAGATACAAACTCAAGGTAACCCGCTCCAAACTCGATTGCAGAAAATACAATTTCAGCCACCGAGTGGTCAATGCCTGGAATGCTCTACCTGACTCCATTGTTACATCCTCAAACCCCCAAAACTTTAACCTTAAACTGTCTACCGTGGAC